TGACATGCAAGACATATAACCCCATAAACAATAGACCAGCGGTTTTGAATCGCACGATCTTAGAGGTCACGCCCACGAAGCGAGATAAAGCGTGCAGCAACATTTTCCTTCAATAGGTTGATTATTTCATGTGCCGCTGTTTTTTGGTGGAGCAAAGGTCGACCACGTCAAAATCCTTCAATACAAGTACGAAAATGTCATAAATCGTGGCCTCAAAGCATACCCCCTTAACTTTAGCACTATGGCTGGCTTCATATGTGAAGAAATATGGACTAATGATTCCCTCTGTTATGGAGGATGTAACGGCGTCTCAACTATGGCGTATGGCTTATCTTCACTCTAAATATCACAATTTTGTTTAAACGTGCGAAGCGCTTACTGGCCCTTCGCCTTCACTTCTCACACGTGCCGGATTTTGTAAGCCCGAAAAGCAAGATCCTTCGATCTTCGATACTTTGCTCCATCCCAGCGATGGCGGCTCTTTGGAAGCGCATTATCCACTAAGGAAGACATGCTGCGAAACCAAGCCATGGTTGCACGAATCACCGACTCGGATGGACGATTATGTCGACCGAATATGGAACGCTGTGCGTGTCAGTATGAGCAAACCCAGGGGGGGGGGGAACCAATTAACGTGGAAAAATTCCAGTTAAATACTAGTATTTTGAAGTTGATATCATACAAGTTCATTATTTGTAAAGAAATCAACTACTAACGGTAGAAATAATAATTTCCACCACCGTTTGTTGTTGTTATATCTGGACACTGCAGCCAAATTTTATTCTCTGCTCTGCTCTATTGAAGTGCGGAAAATGACATTGCTCGTTACTGGTTAGGCTACCGGCTCGAGTCCCACTGCAGGTAAATTATTATTTTTTTATTATTTTTGGAGAATTAGAAATTTTCGCTACTCCGTCTTTCGTATGTTGTTATTGTTTTTAGTATGCCATGGCTGACTTTCATTTTTTCTACTGAACCGCGCAGATTTCGCTGCTCTTTATTCTAGCCTAGGGGTTACAGGTCTTCACTGTGGTCTCTTGTTTCGATTCCTGCACCCCGCAAACTCATTTTTATTTTATTCATTTTTTTATTTACTTTTTGGTGAAGAAGAAATTCCACATGTATAAATGAATTGGTATACGACTAGTTCAAAGCTGATCAGTCAATTGTCAGCTCTTAAGGACATCGCCGTGTTGAAAATAGAATTGCTTGCATGGGAAATACTTCGATGGAAGTTGAACTAGTTAGTGTAATACTGCATATCAGTTGGATGGATTCTAGTTATCAACTAGTATTTTCCCTACAGGGAAGTGACAGCTATCAAAAATGCCAGCAGCAGAAAAATATTGCGCGGTGATAAAGAAAAAACAGACCTTACAACCGAGTACAAAAATAACGAATGATTTTGCGTTGCATTTGGAATTAATATTTTATTTATTTAATGAATTTCTAATTTCTCCAGAATTATTCATAGCTTAACAGTGTTATTTTATTATATTAAGAATACTTTACACTTCTCGCATTCTACTATTCGCTCTTTATTTATACATTTTTCTTTTTCTATTGTTTATTTTGTTAAATTATGGGTATATATTATTTGAATGTGTGTATATAGGTTTTACGTGTACTTATGTACTTATGTACAATACATATGTGCATATAGTTTCGTGTATGGTGTTGTTGTAATATACATTTTTTAAAGCAGTTGCAGCTCGTTAATTAATAAGAACTTGTTGATGGTGATTTAATTTACTATATACATATGTATGCTTTTATATTTAACTGTATGTATTTATGTAAGTAATTACGAGTATTTTAGTGTATGAGCGTAAAAATTAGTGTTTCGTAGGTTTGGTGGTAAGTATGCATGTGTGAGGATCGCGTGTGAGTGATAATGACGGTTTTAACAATTTAAATTAATTTAATTTATACATAAAATGCCGTGTATGATTAATTGTTTATTTGAATTTGTTTCTTCAATGAATACAAGTGGCAAATATATTAAAGAAAAGAAGTTTTTGAAATTAGAAAATAACAATGATTTTTAAATTTCATTTGAACTTAGTTAAGCAAGTTTTCGAAATATTTTTTTTTAGAATGTTTAGAATATATTTTTGTTTCTTGATATTTTTGAGGTCGCGCATAATTTAAACATAAATGTTTAGCTACATTTTCTTTAATATATATATTAAAATAATTTATTTATTTCCTTTATACATACATTTCTTTCTATCTGAATCCAAATACATACATATAAAATTATTTACAACATTATAACAATTTTATTTTGAGACTAATTATGTAGGTAATTAATTGTACAATACATACACATAATATTTATTCAATTTGTTTACTCTTTGCATTGATTTTGTTTTTGTTTGCTTGCTTGCTTGCTTTCTTCTTATAGAGGTAATGAGTCGAAGTCGATAAGTACTTAGTCGATGAATCTTCTGCCTGTATGTGTATACTACGTGCGGACGTGAGATTTGGTAGGCAAAAGTGTTGTTGTTGGCGCTTTTTTCTGTCTCACTTTTTATTTTTAACATTTTGTTTCAATGTTTTTTTTTGGCTTTCGTTTATTTATAAATAAAATTTTTTTATATTTTTCTTTATGAATTTCATGAGATTTTGTCTATAAACATATACGTGTATGTATGTGTATGTATGCTTAAAAGTAAGCATAAAATGAAATAAGTTAATAGTTTTCTTGTATTGCAGCAGGCACCATTTGGTTTTATTTTAATAACTTTTTTTATAGCTTTTTAGTTATTTTCCATATATGTTTATATCTATATGCACATATATGTATATTTACATACATGCTAGTTTATGTATGGTATGTTGAATAAAATTTCCAGACTATACATGTAACTGGCGTGACTCTCTTTTCAATCTTCGCATGTTTGCATGGAAATTTGTATTTATAATCTTTTTTTTTATGTAATTTTGAAGTTATTTGTTTTCTTCGGTTACGTATTTTGAAGATATTTTATTTTTAAAACCGCCCAATGTGGCTGTAAGTCATCGTGCACATTTTAATTTTATTTCATACATTTTTGTTTTATTTTATTTGTATTTATTAAAAGAATTTTATAACAAATGATTACTGGATAATATAGTAAATAGAAATTCCTGTCCAAATTATGTTTATAATAAAAGTATATTAAGTGGTAAACGTATTTGTGTAAAAGAAATATTTTGAAAAATATTTGTGCAGAGAAATTTTGAAAAGACATTTTTTTTTAAATTAATTATGATTTAAGTTTCAATAAAAAAAAAAAATATTTGCTTTGCTTTAGTATTACAAATATTAGAATAAAAACATTCTGCAAAACCCAAAAAATATTACTTAAATTTCAAAACATATATGTATGTATGTATATTTCTAACGAGAACTACTAAATTCGGATTTTATCAGTAGAGAGCGTATTGCTGGGCCTAAAAGAAGACGTCTAATAAGCTGATAATTTTCATTTACATATTTTCAGAGCTGACAGATTCCGATTTCTCATCATTTCTGTACAAACAAAGTCAAATTTCAATATAGTCAACTAAAAATTTGGCGTTGTCTTTATCCGTTTTCATATTCGGCGGTAGTATTTGTGTAGACAGTGTACATTATGCTGCAACTACAAATTTTACATACCTTCCGTCCATAACAGCCGACTGGCAGAGCGATATGCAAACACGAGTTATCGAGGCTAATGACAGCGGCAAAGTGTTGCAAGCTGCCAGTGTGTTTGCCCACCTTTGAACAAATTTATTATTTTCTTCAACGAATTTCAACATTTATATGTTTGTATTTAAGCGCCAATCAAATATATATGATAATAAATAATTATGTTTTAATTTTCATTTCTTTTGAAAGAACTACTCATTTCTTAATTTACTTAAAATTAGTTTAAAAAGGTCAATACTGGCAACCTTGTATAGCAACGAGAAATGAGCCGAGCAGGTTTTCTGTTAGACAACCGTCAGTAACGGCATGGGCAAGCGGTGCGACTTTGTATTTACATGGCGTCCTCGTAGGAAAGGTTGCTATGGATGGAAGATATGTAAGATGGGTAGTTGCAGCATTAGAACTCTTCAGCTACTGGTTGTATCTAACGGCATAAAGTAATCTTGACATATACATAGATACATGCATCAAACTTCTTTGAAATTAAACCGATTTAGACATGACTGTATGTCCGTCCGTATATACATATGTTTGTATATGGAATATTACTCAAGTGCGGATTGAGTTGTTTTGATGAAACTTGGCTTGCACATTTCCTGGCTCACAATTATAGGCGCTCTTAAGAATGTTTGTAATCAGACCATCACCACATGCTATATAATGGAAATTACGAAAGTCGCGATAATTTAGTAAATACATGGGCAATGATCTTATGAAATAAAAAACATGACGAGCGCTTTCAAAGATCCCACAAAGATTTGGATCAGAAAGATTATCAAAAACCACTAGACAGTTGGACAGAATTCGATCGAATTCGATACTTATAATTGACATAGACTAGTATGAAGACGAACAGAATATGAGAGCAATCGGACAACAGTTATGACTTTGTTCCACATACCAATTTTGACCGATCTTTGTACTTAATACAAATATCAGCTGAGTATTCTGAGTTTCATTTCAGCAGGGTTTTGCCTCTCTTACTTGTTTCTACACGATTTTTTTTATCGAAACGGCCTGATTGGTCTTAAGACAAAATCCGGATGTCCACTTTGCCTGTAAACGTCTATTTCCTGTGTTAGAGCTAATTTTTGTAAGAAATTTTACTTAGTCATAGCAGAAATCTTTTTTTAGGTTAGATTTGGTTTGCTCGGCGTGTTCAGTAAGTCCAAGCGAAATGAGAACAAACGGGTTTTATTTTCAACTTTATTGTTTTAATAGGCTGCCGCCGGCTCCTTTAATTAAAATGAAAATTTACAATGCATATGAATTATTTATTTGATTATCCTTTAATACAGAAATATTTAAAGTAAAAATTTTCCCATAAAATACCACAATATGTATGTATGTATGTATGCATGTAAACGCCAGTGTGATTTACTATCTACCACTAATTGGTTTACATCACCGAAATATTACTCACACTAAACCTGGCCACATTGGGGGTCACTCCGGTAACAAATCCGCCAAGACCGCAAACTTTGCCTTCAAACCAAACATCTTAACATATACATATATTTTTTATCGGCCAGGCCACACACACATACAAACACCGGCAAGTGCCTCATTTGATGGATATAGTCCTTACAACGTCCTTTCCACGTTTACGCTCACCCCCGCTGCTGCACGCCTCACCAACAATTTCAATAAGCAGTCGCCGCACCTGGATGCATGAGATGATGGTGATGATGATGATGATGACCGAAATGATTCAGCGGATTCATTGCATCAGCAGTTGCCGGCGGCGTTGCTGTGTGATACCAATCGCTAGGCGGATGATGTTGTGCCGCCGGATGGTAGAGCAGATGATGATTGTGATGACCGGTGACGAGCATTGAAGCGGCTGCCGCATTACTACTACCTGGAGATGCCGCCTGTTGATGATGATGATGCGTGGCCGCTGTTAGCGATGGTGGTGGTCCAAGTGGTGGTGCTAAATATGCGGCGGCTGCTGCTGAGGAAGCCATCAGTTGTAGCGCTGGTGATTTGGTTGAGTGATTGTTGTTGTTATTATTGTTGTTCGAGGCTCCACCACTACTGCTGCCACCGTTAACACCGTTGCCGCCGCCACCGATGCTGTGATGATGCGCATGTGAGTGATGTAAATGTGAGCTGCTTGTTGAACTGCTGCCGCCGCTGGATGCGCCCAAATGTATGACGCTATGCATACCGCCAAGACCATGATTACTCGGTTCCGATTTGATGGAGTGCGGCGAGGATTTATTGCCGATGCCGTTATTATTGTCGCCGGTCAGACGTGCCGATGGCGGTGTTTGCGCACCACCGGTCACAATACTTGAGGAGGATGACTCGTCGCCATCGCTATCGTAGCCGTGTGAGGGTGATTTCTCATCTATATTGCCGTGCACCTGGTCAGTTGGATGATGAACAGAATTGGAAGAAAAGGTATGTGTTAATAAGCGTTGAAAATAAATTAATTTAGTACAAAGTTTAAAAAATATACATATATATTTTATACGTATATATTGTAGGGTTTTCCAAAAAAGGGTGTTTTTTAATATTCAAAGAAAAACTACATTTCTGGATACAAATGATCGGATACCTATTTGTATGTAGAGAGGAAGATATGTTATTTACAATGAAAAACAATATCAGGCAAATAACCGCCAAGGCAATGCTTACAGGACCGAGTCCTCTTTACGAAATTTTCCATCACCAAATAGCAAAGTGTCTGCTCTATGCCCTCAAAAACTTTACGAATTCTATTTTTTTTTGTCTTGTTTGCGTAGACCCTATCTTTCACGATGCCTCAAAGGAAGTAATCGCATGGTGTTAAATTAAAAGATCTCAGGGCCAATTGCGATCACACCTTTTCGAGAGATAACACTGTCCGGAAACTTTTCCCTTACAAGAGCGTTGGTTTCGTCATCCAAATCCGCCCAAAGAAACTATTGCTCCATCCTAATTTTGGAAAAAGTAGGGTCGAATGAAACCGTCGTACGATAAACCGCATCAAACAGTTGTCCCAGTTGTCAAAGTTTTTCTTATTGACGAAGCCATCGAGGTGGTAATGGCCATCATTAATTAACCGAATTATTAGGGTTATGTCCAGAAGGATACAACAATCTATACCAATTTATTACGAGAAAAGACTTACCTTCATGTGTTTACGCAGCGAAGAGGGATGAGTGTAAGATTTATCACAGCCATTGATACGGCAATTATACGGTTTATCGGAGGTGTGCACATGCGAGTGTTTCTTGCGATCCGAAGAGTTTGCGAACCGCCGATCGCAGCCCTCGTGTTCACATTTGAAAGGTTTTTCGCCTGAAAAGAAAAAAATAAATAATATAATAATTTGCGTATATTCTTAATAGAAGTAATATAGAATACTTATGGAAAAGAGGATATTAAACTGGAATTGTGATAGTTTATGTAACATCATCCATTTTGATTTAATTTAATATTGTAATTTTTTGACTTTATCACTTTTTTCAATTCTTCGATTTTATTTTATTTTAATACTTAATATTATCTTCTATTTTTCTTTATTTCTAGTTCATTTTTTGTTATTTCTATTTGCATGTATTTTTTCCATTTTATATCATTTAATTTTAATTATTTAATGTTATTTTATTAAATTCGTTTTATATTATTCGATTTTAGTTTGTTGTTTTATTTTATTCTATTTTATTTTATATTATTTAATTTAATATATTTTAGTTTTCTTTATTATATTGCACTGAATTTCCATTTATTTGTTTTCGTAAAGTAATATTACCTTATCTTATTCACTTATATTTTATTTTATTTTGTTTTAGTTTCCTTGTGTTATATTTTCATTTATATTATATACTTTAATATAATCTTAATTTATTGTGTTTTATGCTATTTTACTTGATTTTATTGTATTTTTTTTTTATTTCAACTAATTTTATTTTATTTTGTTTTCTTTATTATAATTTATTTTCTTTTATTTCATTTCATTTTATACCAATTTATTTTCTTTTTTAGTTAATCTATTTAAATTTTTCTTCTTTCTTTTACTTAATTCTTTATTTTATAATTTCTACTAATTTAATACTCTTTTATTATATATATATATATGTAAGTAGCTTAAATATGCATATCGGTAATCTTGGTTGAAAAATTATTTATCTTTGTACATACGTATGTACTCGTATGTATATTTATTAATTTTAGCGCCCAACAAAAGCGCTGTGTGGTCTCTTGTTCTTTACCAACTTAACCCCTTCACAATCTTGAAAAATACAATATTTATGTTTTAACGTTGAATAAAAAAAAAACTGAGTTTTTTACAAGTTCCAAATTTATTGCCCTGCTTGTACACTAAACAGCCACAATTGGACTGATGAGTGTCATAAAATTCCGACACCGGCATCGCCACCCGCACCAACAATGCTATAAGAAATAAACTTTTGCTCTTTTTGAATGCGAAAAAATATATTTTTTATCGACACTACTTTTTATTATGCTCAAAATGGTCACGCTTTTGGCCAACAGCATTCGACTGTTGCTGCCAATACCAACAAACAACAATAATAAGCAAGGAATAGCAAAAGCTACATTTATTTGTTTTTGGCATATCTGTTCTTTTTTCTTTCATTTCCCCCCCTCGATTACCTTTGAGCTCATTCGTATGCGTTAAATTTTGGGTTTAAGGTTGAAAAAAAAAACAAAACTAAGTTTGGTGTAGATAAAAAATGCATAAATCGAATTTATTTGTTTCGATCGCAATTTGCTTGTCTTTATTGGTTTTCTTTGATTTTTATATTCGATTTTTTGTACTGATTTTGAGCTCTTATGTAGTATTTTCGTGTTCTGCAAGCGCGGTTTATTTTTTTCTGTAAAATTTAGGAATTCCTGGTAATGAGAATTGTTGCAAAAATTATGAAGCTGCCGTAGCTGACTGCCGCCGCAAAACAACAGTGATAAATAATTTTGCTTTTTCTGTTTTTTTTTTTTTTTGTTTTTTGCTGCCGGACAGGTACAGAATTTATGACTGTTTCAAAATATTTTTTTTTTTTTGCAAAAATTTGAATATTTTATATTTCGACTTGACTAAGATGGTCATGCAAAGCGTGTAGTATGCACCTCAGGCTGGCATTTCAGCCGGCAGTGTGATCCGAAACTATTTGAGTTCAGCAAATTTCACTTGCCGACGGTAGTTATGAAAGGGCAGCAGAACAAATTCATCTAAAATCTGTTATCACAAATAATATGCATTGCCGCGACCTTGCTCAAGTTTTAGAGGTCCAGATGGTCAGATTGCTCCTGATATAAACCTAATGGGCATGAGCGTGAGGTATGAGCGTTGTGAAAAGAAGGCGGTGAAGATATTTCCTCAAAATATCATATTAAAATTTGGCAGACTTGTAAAGTCTTGAGAGTGTAAGAAGGATATGTAGCAATCAGCAGCAGAATATTACCAACCACATTTTTATTTCTGAGCAATATGATGACATACGTAGCATATATGAATTTCCGTTGTCCTAGTATATTTTCCTCCTTACATTCATTAGTTTCATATACATCCTTCAATTCTTGTAAAATTGTCGGTACTCACTCAACCGAACTTAATGCAACAATTCCCACGTGAAAAGTGTAAAACGCAAGTAAAATGAAATTATAATAAGAATAAATATAATATAAAATGGAATCGAAAAATAATTTATGTGTTACGAATACTATAAAACTGAATTTGGGGCAGGATTAGTCGTTAACAAAGGGAAGAGGAAAAACAAACGAAGAAAAAAGTAACAAAGACAATTGATTGCGTCAAGAAGGTGGGTTTTATGGCAAAGCAGAAAAGGCCAAGAGCTCAAAAATACTTATGTACATCTTTCGAGTATAATAATTTTATATAAAATGCTATGTGACACAAGCAATCTAACAAATTTATGTATATATAAGGTGCAGACCAAATGCTAAATTATTTAGGGTAAAAGGAACACAACACAATGAATCCAATAAATTATTTAGGATGAGAAAAAAGAACAACAAAAGGACTCACCTGCTTACCTAGCGCAACTAGTTGTGAATGTGTTTAATTCCAATAAATATAGAAATGCTTATGGGCAGTTTTCAACCAAAAAAAATGGGTGAAAATAATAAAAATTCACACGTTGTGAATGTGTTCCTATACTAAAGTGGCATAATTACACTATTTTAAAATGACGACAAGTGTAAAAAGGTTAGTGAGCAAATATTATCGACAATAAAAAGGTGAAGGATCAACGTTTATTTGAGTCAAATGTGCATTAGACCCAAAGTGTATGCACACATACATATTTACATGTGCATATGCGTATGCGTTTGTCTTATTTTATAGGTTATTAAAAGGTATAAGGAAATATTTTGTTGGCATAAATAATACGTTCTAATATGTTTATGAATCTTGATCTGAAATATTTTCACTTTTGTTTTTTTTTCTGTTGCGCTCACAATTTATAAGTTAATAAAATTCATTATTTATAGTAACTGCCTTGTAATTGTGTGCACGTGATTTTATAACACATTTCTCGCGATGGACAGCATGTATATTTTTTCAATAAAATATTCGTATTAAAACAGGGTTGATTTCGTGTAATCCAATAAGTTTAAGGTACATAACAAACCTAAATACACGTAACCCAATGACGTTATGGAAATATTTTGTTTTTTACTTTATGTAAGCTTTTATTTTATTTTTATTTAATTTTTTTTCATTTAGAATTTTATAATAATTATTACTTAATTTTATTTAATGTTTTTTTTACGCATTCCTTATATATGTATTTGTATTTATTTTTTTATCTTAATTCATTTTATTTTTTTTTCTATTTAATTTTATTTTGAAAAACATTATAATTTGTTGCTTTAGTTTTTATATTTTATTTATTTTAAAATAATTTAATTCCTTTCTCTGCATTCATTTTATTTTATTTCTTTTTATTTCAATTTATTTATTGTATCGCATTTACGCATTTTAGTTTCTTTTATTTAGTTAATAAGTTATCTCATAACATTTAAATAATTAAATTTCATTCACACTATTAATTTTATTTTAATTTTTTATTTTTTTTTATATATCGTCCAAATTATCTCAAACCATTTAATACTACACTATTTGATTATAAATTTACTACAACATTTCTATTTTGTAAGTAATATATTTGCGTTTTTTCATATTTAATTTTGTATGTCAAGACCAATCTACGGACGGTATTCAACCAGACCAACGCCACCTTACACAATGAAGTCCGCACCAAACGTTTATTGCGGATTAGCGTGACGAAGGCCACGGTCAACGCTGACGACCAGCCAACATTGCAGACACATCACATTTTCCGCTCTTACTGTATCGACGGTGTAATTTCTGGCTTTTTCTCCCTTTTCCTCTGGGCCTTGTCTACGTGAAGTTGGATTCTTTGTCGATCAATACCATTTGATGACAATATTCGTAATCGAAAAGTTTCACACTTTCAGCTTAACGAAATAAATATGACAGAAGCCACAATGGTTTGTTGGAATTTCTCGCTTATTTGTTATTTTTGTTGTTATTGTCACTACATGTGGTTGCGCTTTGTTTGTGTTGTGTGAGTATTTTTCTTTTTTCCTTCTTTTATCCGGTACTGTCACTTTTATTTTGACTTTTACGCTCCACACTGTATGGTAATCATACATACGTTTATTGGTTTATGTACGTGTACACACCAGCCAACAGATTTCATGCGAAAAGCGCCGAGAGTGGCTTAAAGTCGGGGGAGGGTGGAGTTTAACTCCTGCCGCTATATTTGCTTTTCTTTTTCCTTCATTTTTTTCTGGTCTGTGCAGCACTCAACACTTGCGGCTTTTGCTTTTGTCAACATATTCTCACTTGCATTTTTATGACGTTTGCCACTGGTATTATTGTAAATGTTGTTGTTGCAGCGTGTAATTTAATACTAATTTATGCCTTTTTAAGTATGTTTAAGCGGATGAAAAGTTTTCGAACAAAAGTAGCTCCCCACAACAGTACATAACATTGTCACAAATGAGATTTTACATACATAAATATGTACGTCATATGTAATTATGCTCTGGTTGGAAAAATCACCACCATCGGCCAGTCGTTACAGATTTGGCTTCATTGTATTTTATTTTTTTTTTTTTTAAATAAAATTAATTATAGCGAAATAAAGCTAATATAAAATGAAATTAAATGAAATTAAATTAAATTAAGTAAAGTAATAAAAAATGTTTATTATAAAAAAGTTAGCCAAAAGAAAGTAAATTAATTAATTTAAAATTAAATAAAAAAAAATATTGTGAAAAGTTAATATGCA